ATGCCACTTATTTCTCAAGTGATTCTAAAATTTGGCCAGCCACTAGTAGGACTCCATTACAGTTTACCTTAGTGTAGATGGGAATTATGAATGCATTTTGTGGACTTTGGCTCCGTGACTTTCCAAAGAGCATGATTCATTCCTGAGTAATCTGTAACCCATACTCCTTGTATAATCATTAGAAGAGACTGCCTTGATGATTTTTCATTGAATATCAAAAGCTTTCAGAAGTGTGCCTCTGGGAATGACCGTCTGCAGATGTAGGAGCGTCTCCAAACTGACCCAGGTGTTACCCCCTCCCCTTCAGTCTCTCTGGTGTTGTGATTTATCAAGTGTCTTACAGGAAGAGATGAAGCCTTCCGGAGAATTACTTAATTTTCAAAAGGACTGCTTTTTTTGTGTGTGCCTGCCCCATTTTCTTGCTTTTTGTGTCAGTTATGGGGATTTTGAAGTTGAAAATACTGAGCTATTTTAGAGCCTCCATAGTAAAATATTCCCACTTTGATATGAAGTGAAATTTCCCCAATTGCACGATCTTTGAAATACAAATTGGATTTACATTTACTTTTCAAAGCTTTTAATTCTCTTCTGGTGAACATCCTCTGACACTGAGCTCCCCAGGCTTTCTGCTTGCTTAAGTTTGTCTCCTCCTGTCAGTGAGTGTGGGAGATAGTCCAGGAAATCAGGGAACCCTCACACCAGCCCCTTGTGGCATATGCACCTTATTCCTCTGTACCGTGGGTTTGTGAAATTATGTAACATAGCCTGCTTTCAGAAGGCCTTTTATTTATTTTTTAAAGCCTCTCATACCTAAGTGGGGTGAGTAGGTGAATAGCATTGATTTCTCTCAAGAAGGGTGTTATGTAAATGCTGCCTGGTAGAATTGCGTTTTCATTTCCTGTATTGATCTCATCTTAAAGCCTTGGAGTCAATCCTATTTTGTGTGTATTCCTATTTTCACAGAAATACCATGTTGCAAAATGAAAATGAGTGACTAGAGATGTGGAAATCATGCTTAAAAGCCTCTTATCCTATCATCTTTGGCATTTCAGGATGTCATTTTTTTTTTCTCCACACATATATATTATAAGCCGCAAATAGTTGTGTACTTTAGCTGGCATCATTATTCAGATAGGTTCTTAGTGGTTTCTTTTCTTTTTTTCTTCCAGAAAATCCATTTTTGGAAGATGACTTTGAATTAGGCCCAATCTATAAGGACTAGATCTTACTGTCTATCATTAAGGAAGGAGGATTTTCTTACCTTAGAGATACCATAGTTGTTGTTTAGTAGCTAAGTCATATTCAACCCTTTTGGTACACCATGGACTGTAGGCCACCAGGCTGCTCTGTCCATGGGATTTCCCTGGCAATAAAACTGGAGTGGGTTGCCATTTCCTTCTCCAGGGGATCTTCCTGATGCAGGGATGGAACCTGCATCTCCTGCATTGTCAGGCTGATTCTTTACCACTGAGCCACATAGTTGAGCTCATCAATAAATGGCTAGAATTGTCCTCTAATCCAAAAACTCCCATCTACTCAGCTAGGAGAACCAAGACAGAACCTTCCTCTTCTAAGATATCCTGGTGGGTCCACTAACAACCTGTTGGCAGATGTACCCGAAAGGACTTCCTTTAACAGAGCTGTGACAGACACATCAGTGCATTTTGCAGTTATATGTCAATATCTTGGACACATAAATGGGAAACTTGAATTGGCACTAGCATATAATGGCTATTCCTGTACCTAATCCTTACCAATCTATTTTTTTTCCTATAATGGCCAGATTCTACTTTTTTAAATTTAAAGATAATGTTATACCTTAATTTCCAAGTTGTTTTAAATCCTGTTGTAGTTTATTGAATGTTTTCAGTTAACCAGAAACATCACTGAGCTCTGTCCCTGGTGATCTAAAGTCTAATGATATATTAATGTAAATTTTAACGTACAAACCGGAATTCAGTGTTGTATCCTCATCAGTTCAGTTCAGTCACTCAGTCATGTCCGACTCTTTGCGACTCCATGAATCACAGCACGCCAGGCCTCCCTGTCCATCACCAACCCCCAGAGTTTACTCAAACTCATGCCCATCGAGTCGGCGATGCCATCCAGCCACCTCATCCTCTGTCGTCCCCTTCTCCTCCTGCCCCCAATCCCCCCCAGCATCAGGGTCTTTTCCAGTGAGTCAACTCTTTGCATGAGGTGGCCAAAGTATTGGAGTTTCAGCTTCAGCATCAGTCCTTCCAGTGAACACCCAGGGCTGATCTCCTTTAGGACGGACTGGTTGGATCTCCTTGCAGTCCAAGGGACTCTCAAGTTCTCTGTTAACCATATAATGCTATGATTTCTCTTTTGCGCCTTCGGAATTCTCAATCTAACAATAACAGAGGAATAAAAAGAGGGGGAAAAAATGGATTTAGATCAATATCCAAACCTTGGTTCCCGGATTCATCCATAATTACCATTCATTTTTCACAGCTTCAATTCTAGTTATCAAAAAATATGTGCTTGATCCAAATTCCACTTTAATTTCTAGGACAGGCATCCCCAGATGAATGTCACATTCCAGCCGAAGTTCTTCTGTTGAAGTGGAGGCCCCTCATGGTTTGTCTCCACACTCTGATACTTACCAAGCTTCCTCACCTTGTCCTCGACCACCACGCACTCCTCAGAATAAAAAGGCTGCATGAACTGAACTTGAACTAGAGATCAGAATCCCAGCTCTGCCATCTACTAGCTGTGTGACTGGGGGGCAAGTGACTTTACCGTTTTGTGACTCAGCCTCTTCACTTGTATAAGGAGAACAATAATGCCACCTACCTCATAGAATTATTAGGGGATTCCCAGGTGGTTCAATGGTAAAGAACCTGCCTGGCAGTGCAGGACGCGTAAGAGATGCCAGTTGGATCCCTGGGTTGGGAATATCCCCTGGAGGAGGGCATGGCACCCCACTCAGTATTCTTGCCTGACGAATCCTATGGACAGAGGACCCTAGTGGGCTACAGTCCTTCGGGTCACAAAGAGTTGGCTATGACTAAAGCAACTTAGCGCATACACACACACACAGGATTATTAAGTTAGATGAGGTTATGCATGTAAAGGCGTTAATGGAGAGTCACTTCCCAGTAAGTACTCAGTAAGTATTTATATAGTAATAAAACTTATCATCAGCACCAACACAAAGAGAGGTCAGTATTATTTATTCACTGTCACCTTGCTTTAACGTATCTTAAACTCTACCACTTGAAGTTTAGGAGTGGAGTGTTAGCAGCCGTAATTACTTTCTGGTCTAGGCAAGACAATTAAACAAAAAGTCAGGAAAAACATATCTGGTAAAATTGCTTGAGTGAAACTGTGCTGGAATTTATTCCTTTACTTTAACAAATATTTATTGAAACTCTTGGAATTATGGTGGCAACCAAAATAATTATCAGCCCTGAACTCTTGAAGCTAATGTCTGAGTGGGAGATAGTTGATAAATTAAAAAAAAAAAACCAGAATACAATAAAATAAGATATGACCTACCAGAAAAGACCCTGATGCTGGGAAAGACTGAAGGCAGGAGGAGGAGATGACAGAGGATGAGATGGTTGGATGGCATCACTGACTAGATGGACATGAGTTTGAGCAAGCTCTGGGAGTTGGTGATGGACAGGGAAGCCTGGCTGATAAAAGAGTGGAAATTGGGTGACCATTAAGAACTATTGCTGAGCACAGGAAAGAACTAAAGATGGCCTGATGGTGGGTGGTAGATACCATCATCTCCCAGATTATGTTTGTTTATTGCTAATATTATTAATATCTGATATTAATATTAATTTAATATTATATTTATTGTTAATGAACATTTGCAGTTACATTCTGAGGTAGAAGAGACAAGATCTGGCTAGAGGTTCTGTGTTAGTTAGGGGGACAGGAAGGTGTCCAGAATGACTCTCAGATGTCTCTTAGGTTAATGATGTAAGTAAGTACATCCTCACAGTACAGATGTAAATAGGTGGCATCCATCATCTATGAAGGTAGCAAAGATGATGAATGCTTTCAAGTTGCTGAAGAGTCTTATGTTTGTTTCTGATTGGGAGTTAATATAGATGCTTGCTAAAGATAAATAAAAGGATTCATGCGAAGAACCAGTAAGGGCTCGGTAGAAAGGTAAAACTGTTTACCATAAGATTTAGGCTTGGAGCTCAAATCTTTGACACGGTGCAGAGAAGGGCCTGTTAGCATCAGCGACCCTCCACTCACTGTGTCGTGGTTTGGTAGGGCCCTTTATTGTGTTGGCAGAGGTCAAGGCGTCTCATTCATTGGGAGCACAGTTAATATAAGTGACTATATTTCACTATATATTCACGGCTCTGTTGATTTACAACATGTAGATGGGGAAGAGTAAGGGAACAGTAGCCTGCAGGGTGACGTTTGAGGACTGACTCTCGTCTTCTGCTTCTCTAGACAAGTGCTGGCAAGCAGTCCTGCTGTTGGCCTAGCAGCAGCTCCTCTGAGCCACTTGTAGGCACCAGGCACTAAGTCAGGATGCTGAGACCTGTACGCACTCAAACTCTCTCTCTGACAGTGTCCCAGGGAATTTCTGCAAAGTTTTCTCTGACAAAAGCTTCTGCTTTCACTTGGAAGGAAAATTGTTTTTTAAATCCCTTAGAGATACTTTTTGTAAAAAATTGAAAAAATAAATACCTGGAGAAAATATTTTCTCCTTTAAATGATGAGGGAGTGTATGAGAGGGATTAAAAAATCAATTATTTTGGTTGACTTTGGTTGAGTGAAAGGTGAGGCAAGGGGAAAACACAGGTCTCTAAGTTATTGTCACCTCCAGGGACGATGGTAAAATGCCACATGATGAGAAACTCTTGAGTTCCCTAACCCTAGGAACCAGGAACTCTCCACTAAGCATACAGTGGTTTGTGTGATCCTTGAAGTTATTATATTTTTTTCTGTTATTGTATTTTTTTCTTTAACTTCCATAATTATTTAGCAAATGTTTCTGACAGGTTTATCTTACAAAATGCCATCGAAGGAATTCCTCACTGGTCCAGTGGTTAAGACTACACATACTCACTGTTGAAGACTCAGGTTCAATCTCTGTCAGGGAATGAAGATCCCACAAGCCACACAGTGCAGCAAAAAGTAAACAAATAAAAATGTTAAAATAACAATAAATGCCATTGATTTACCCATAAGAGAAGCCAGTTCTCATTAAGGAAATAATGGTTGAGTTCTCTTCATAAATGGATCTTGACTTAATGACTTGAAACTATATTTCAAGATTAGAAGACCACCAAAGAAGCTTTGAATACAGATGATTAAATGATTCAAATTTTATATGATCTTCTATCTTCCTCCACCAAATAACCAGTTTCAAATTGTCCATCCTTTTACTTATTTTCTGAGGTATCTGAGTGATACAATATGCTTGAGTTTCTCACATTTCAAAATTTCTCTCTCAATGCATAATTGGTGATCACAGAGCTAAACTTAATGAATATTCTCTGCAACTTCCATAGCACATCAAGACAAACTATTTAATACTATCCTACTTAATGCCAATGGCACATCAAAAAAAAAAAATTCCTGGAAGGAAATATTCTTTTTCTCCAAGTAAATTTGAAACCTCTTTATTCATTTTAAATATTTTATTGCATTAATTTTTCAGAGCAGCAAAACAAACATTCATCAAGTGAAACTGAGCATGACCCCCTCGGATGGGTACATCTGTTGCTTTCCTGCTGTGTCCTTGAATAATTCATGTTAATACATTTAAAATATACACTTCATTCAAATGAGCTTCCCTCATTTACATGTAAAATTTACATTGATGGAAACTAAAGTCAGAGCTGGAAGAAAGCTGACCCAGGAGTTCTGTGATTTATGACTAGCTGCCTCTGTCCATTTGTCTCTGCCGGGAAAGTACAGAAGCACCTCCCCACCCCTGGCCCCCTGAGAGCTTTAGTTACATCAGTAAATACGTGGAAGATGCCGCCCAGATATTTTGATCGCTTTTCCTGTAGCCTGCTTTCCATGTGAATACCTTCTACAAGATTTGTGGTCTCTGCTGTTCCCTTTTGGCTCTGTCTGCTCACATCACATGACCGATGCTCCAGGTACACTGAATGACATCTAGGAATTGAAGCCAACCCAGAGAATACTAATCAGCTTTAGCTTCTCGAAAATTAATCGATGTGAGCTCATCTCAGGCAGAGCGGGGGAAGAATCTTCAGTGGTATTCCTGCCCTATCCCTTTCAACTCTGTTAACTGATGGTCTGAATGGTTTTGGAGAAGGGATCAAATTTCTAACCATGACAGCATTTTCTGCCTCCACCATCCCTCTAGTTATCTGTTAAGCCTTAAAAAATTAAGATTAAAAAAATAGAAAGGGAAGGAGGAAAAGGAAACAGTTGAGCAGTTAAAGACCCAATGCTGAGTCTTCTCTTTCAAGGAACTTGCTTTCTATAATTTTTTCTTAAAAAAGAAATCTCCTATACGTGTAGCAAGTAAAATTTCAAATGATATAGGATCCAGAGAATAAAATAACTTATGAGGTGTTTTCTACATAAGACTTGAGCCCAATATTTGGCAATCATCACTATCCTTGCTTATTTGAAAAATCTCTGCAGCACCAAATCATCCATCAGACCCCAGGGTTACATATCCAAACTACACCACTATGTGTAATTAATCATAATGATGTAATTTAAAGGTTCTCTAATGTAATTTTCTGAGGAGCCAGAACAATTTGTATATATTCCATACTGCCCATATTTTAATAAAAGTAAATCATATTTAACAAATTGTTTTAGTCTTTAATAGTGACTAGTTGACACTTACTTTTTGGAAATGACAATAGAGAACATATAGATTCTTCCGCATCACAATATTTTGATATTTTACAGGGTTTGTCAAACATCCCCAGTCCCTGGGACCCATTTGTTAAGAAAAAAAATTGTCCTAGAACTTCCTCCCTAACATAACCCTGTTCACTTGCTTATCTGTTTAATCCCTTCCTCCCTTACCTATGACCAAAATAAATTAACAGGCCTATATAGTCTTCTATTGACAAATTGTGTATGCTAATAGGTCAGTAATAAAGGATAATAGAAACCAGTTTTACTTTGTTTCTTGAAGGCCAGATTGAAAATCAAAGCTTTCATGTGTCAGCGGTAACAGGTCAGCGCACCTACAGGACCTTGGCACTTTTCAAATATTGGTGTGTTTCTTCTAAACCATTTCTGACTTATTATAAAAATTATAATAGTATATATTATTATTATATTATTATATATGTTATATATTATATAACATTATCTGCTATATATAATTTATATGTTATATATAATATTATTATATATGATATATTAATATTATCTATTATATTGTCTATAATTATATATATAACTAAAAAGTTATATATATGTGGTGTCCATATGTATATGGAACTGAATTACATTGTTGTACACCTGAAATTAACATAATATTGTAAATCAACTATACTTCAATAAAAAGGAAGTTGGAGTCAGAATACAATGTCACATACTTACCTTAAACAATGGTTTTTAAACACACAAATACATATTCATTTGAAAGGTTTCAGATGAACAGTCAGCAGAATTGATGCTTTGCTTGTGTTTTCCATTTTCAGTTCTCTGAAGTGGAGTGGGAACTCAGACACAAAACAGTATTCTGATCCTTTAACTGATTCATGAGTTTCCCAGTGTTGTATATTTATTTTGTCTGCACCTAACCGATCAGCAGTTATTTTTAGTGGCTCACCTTTATATCTTCACAAAGCATTCAATTTAGTTTTCATGAAAATAACTACCTTTCTTTTCACACTCATATTTTATCAGTTTACAATGTACTTAATTAAATTACATGATTTCAGTAACTAATAAATAAGTGAATCTTGGCATAAATCTGTTTTGGGAGCAAATACACCTGACTCAGGGTAAGGTGACTCAGCTGTTTGGGGCAATGGTTAGTGATCTTGCCCTGATCATTTGTGGGCTGTGGGCATCTGTCCGGCGCTCTATAGAAGGATGGGGGTAATGTGTGTTAGTCTGGAAAGTTATTGACCTGGGCTGTCTATTATATTTATTCTCCCTGAATCAGCATGGTGTAGTGGAAAAAGCATGGCTCTTGTGGTCAAACAGACCTGGGTTTAAATCTTGTATTGTTTCTAGTTTTGTCCAACTCTGTGACCCCATGGACTGTAGCCTACCAGGTCTCCCTGTCCATGGAATTTTCCAGGCAAGAACATTGGAGTGGATTGCCTTGCCCTTCTCGAAAACATACATACATAGATATCAGTCTAGAATCCATTAGTCAAGGGTCTACTTTTGACTTGACTTGAGAAATTAATGGAGGAAAAACAAGATCACAAAACAGTCTCAAATAATTTACAATTCAGTTCAGTTCAGTCACTCAGTCATGTCCAACTCTTTGCGACCCCATGGACTGCAGCATACCAGGCTTCCCTGTCCATCACCAACTCCCAGAGCTTGCTCAAACTCATGTCCATCAAGTCAGTGATACCATCCAACCATCTCATCCTCTGTTGTCCCCTTCTCCTCCTACCTTCGATCTTTCCCAGCATCAGGGTCTTTTCCAATGAATCAGTTCTTCACATCAGATGAACAAAGTACTGGAGTTTCAGCTTCAGCATCAGTCTTTCCAATGAATATTTAGGACTGATTTCCTTTAGGACTGACTTGTTGGATCTCCTTGCAGTCCATGGGACTCTCAAGAGTCTTCTCCAACACCACAGTTCAAAAGCAGCAAGCTAATTTATAATTAGCTTCATGATATATAGATATATATTCTATTTTGTTCACAATATATAGATACATGTTCTCTTTGGGTTAATGTAATCTGAATACATTACAAGTAATTCAAAGACAGCCTAGAGCTTAGTAAATGGTAAAAAAGAAAGCTATGTGTTTTAAGATCCATCACATTAACTCCCCAAATTAGGTAAACCATATTCTGATAATTGAGAAGCAAATCTACTATCTTATTACTTTTAAGAAATAGTAAGACCTGTGATACAAAGGCTGCTCTTTAACACTTTGAGGTTTATATGTTTTTAAAAATTCTTTTTTTGTTTTACTGTTCATTTCTAGAAATAGTCCATGTTTTTCATGGAGAGTCTCTATTTCTGAATTCTTTCCTGTTGAAACCCAGTTTGTTCACTTACATAGCTTGCAATGAACTCTTAACTTGCAGTATGCCTTGAAAAAGGGACAAGATGAATCTTTGATGTTTTTCTACTCATATATGAATGAAGATGCCAATTGCTTTAGCCAGTCTAATAACTTGGAGAAGGAAATGGCAACCCACTCCAGTGTTCTTGCCTGGAGAATCCCAGGGATGGGGGAGCCTGGTGGGCTACTGTCTATGGGGTCACACAGAGTCGGACACGACTGATGCAACTTAGCAGCAGCAGTCTAATAACTAACATACCTTACTACATTGTGTGAGACTTTCTTGGCAAAGGAGTGTGTGTGTGTGTGTGTGTGTGTGTGTGTGTGTGTGTGTGATGTCTGTGGCAAAATCCTGTTGAAATTTCCAGCGATACCTCTTGAATCCATTTAAATCTCTTATTTTGAAACCATTAGTAGTGTTAAATCCCTTTGTTTATTACCTGGTCTGCGACTGGATTGTTGGATTTCTAAGTATATTAAAAATGAACAAATAGAAAGAGATTTTTGTTCCCTAATGTGTATTCAAACTTGGCTAAAAATTCTCTCCCTTTCACATTAACTTCCCTCTAATATCTGGTTTTAGCACAAATTTGTCTTCAAAATGTATGAGGAGTAAGAATGACTCAGAGATATACCCTGTTTTAAAACTAAAAGTTTGATCCATGACCCATATTTCTCTTCTCAAACAAATTGGAAACCTATAGATAGAAGAAAGAACGTAGGGGTAGAAGAAAGAACCCAGGGAAAGAAATAGCACCATACTTTCCAAGAGCAGAATTTATTTTTTCAACCACTGGTTTTATTTCCTGTCACTTTGATATCACCTTGTCCCTGTGAAAGGCTTTCAAACCAGGCAAATGACAGTGTTCCATCCATGTGCTCTCCTCAACGTCTCAGTCAACGAGGAAGAAGGTAGGCACAGAGTCTGCTGGGACAGAGTCCAAAAGTCACCCAGAGGACTTCCCTGGTGGTCCAGGGGCTAAGACTGTGCCTCCAATGCAGGGGCCCTGGGCTCAGTCCCTGGCTAGGGAGCAAGATCCCACTTGCCGCAACAAAGATCCAGAGCAGCCTGTATATATATGTATGTATGTATGTATATGTGTGTGTGTGTGTATGCATGTATATATATATATGTATATATGTAATTTTTTAAGTCACCCAGGACAGTGTGCTGTGTAATGTGTGATGTTTTATGAAAGGATTATCCTGCAACATTCAGAATAATTTTACACTGTCTTTTGATCATACCTGCTGGCAGAGTTTTGATGGATAATGAGGAAACCCACCCAGGATTTAAACCTACATGGATAATTCTCACATCAGGTCAAAGACTTAAAGACTTAACACAGAGTTTACAAGTAAGTGTGAAGTGTCCTGGAGAGACAGAGACCAATGAAATCATGGTTCTTTAGTCCTTCACCACCTCAGTTTGTAGATTCCATCTAGAATCACATCAGTCTTTAATAATTATTACAAAATAATGTCAGATTTCTGGACCACGGTGTATTCTCTCACACTTGATTAAAGTACATCATGAATTCCATTTCTTTTAACACCTACTGATTTTTTCTATATTGAATCTTGAATATTTATCAAGGGTCTATATGCTTTTTAAGCTTATTGGTTTTTACAAATTAAGTATTTGCATTTGCTTTTTCTAAAAGGATTTTAATTCTTTTGCAATGCAATCAACGTGGATTTGTTTTCCAAATTTTACAGATATCTGAGTCATGAACATCTGTATTCACTTTCAAATGTGACAGTGAATCAATTTAGACTATAGACATTGAACTGAAATGAAATCACTCAGTCGCGTCCCACTCTTTGCAACCCCATGGACTGTAACCTACAGGAATCCTCAGTCCAAGGGATTTTCCAGGCAAGAGTACTGGAGTGGGTTTCCATTTCCTTCTCCAACTATAGACATTATCAAGCTGTGAATTGGGTGTTAGTGAAAATATATGCTTTAATTTGCTAATGGACAATTAAGTGGGAAAACCTTTAGAAGCAGAGAAATAAATGATGTCTTACTTCCTTAAGAGGACACTGTTAAGAAGTGTCCGACTGAGGGGGACCTACAAGTACCTGTAATGAAATAGTAAGAATATAAAACTGTCAGCGTCAAGATTGCTTTTTCCTATTACACCGTGACAGAAATGCTACTGCTTCAATAACTAAGCCACTATCTCTTTCTGCTCTGCATACATCTAGCTTCTAAGCTTTCCCAAATCCTCTCCATAATGAATCAAGAAACCTAATACATTAATAAACAAAATTGTTCTTGTTGTCTAGTTGCTAAGTCATGTCCAACTTTTGGTGACCCCACGGACGTAACCCACCAGGCTTCTCTGTCCATGGGATTCACCAGGCAAGAATACTGGAGTGGCCTGCCATTTCCTTCTCCAGGAATAAACAAAATTCAGTGAAATTAAATATTTTGTACAATTTCTGCCCAACATAAAATCTAACTGGAGTGATCTTGTACTATGTGTTAGCTTATAAAACATGCATAATCCTATATGGAGAACATATGCATACAGGTGTTTATACAAAGATATTCATTGCAGCACTACTAATGATATATAAAAAAAACTGGTACTACGACTCACATGTCTCTCAATAATTTTTTTTTATATTATTTAGAAAGCTTTACAATGTACGGTGTAATACTATGAAGACATTTTTTAAAAGATGGTGATGTGATGCCTTGTAAACATCTTCCACAGTATATTTTTACATGAAGCAACATAGTCCAAGATCACTAGATATAGGTCAGCCCCACTATAAGAATAAAATACCATGTGAAGTGGTGTGTGTGTGTGTGTGTGTGTGTGTGCATGTGTGTGTATGCATATGTATGTGTGTATGTGTCTAATACCTAAATGTATTGGTTTGGGTCATGGGAAAAGTGATATTTTCCTATTTTCAAATTCTAACCATTTTCTTCCTCTCCCCTGCAGCTTAA